AAGAGTACACCTTCGTGAATTTTGACACTGCGTACAACTGTGGAACTACCACCACAATCAAGACAGAACATTGCCACAAGCCACAAAAAGCGTCCCTCTCTCAGTAATGGTGATACCTTACCTCGGTTCCAGGTTACCACATCTGCTTTCTGCCATTATAGCTTTAAAATTTTTGCTTCTTCTAGAATGACATATAAGTGCAGTTATACATTAATTACTCTTCTGTTTCTGGTTTCTTTCATTCATCATCATGTTGTTTTGTGCACATATAGTACATCCTCTCTTATTGCTAAGCAGCATTCCATTCCATGGATCTTATTCAACCATCCACCACACACTTTTATCCATTTTTCAGTTGATAGGCATTTGGGTTGTTTCCAGCTGATGGCCATTATGAATAAAGGTACTACAAATATTCATATAAAAGTCTTTCTAGGACAGGTGTTTTGTTTCTTTTGGGTAAATACCTAGGATGGGCCATTAGGTCATATGTGAGGCTGATAACTTGTCCTATTCCCACCTTTTTTCAAAGGGGCTGTCCCATGTCACAGCCCCGCCCCCGCCCCGCCCCCAGTAAGGTAGGAGACTGAAAAATTCACCAGTTTCTCTGAATCTTCATCATGTTTGTTATAGGCAGTGTTTTTGTTCTTCTTCTTCTTGTTTTGTTCTATTTTAATTTTAGCCTTTCAGATGAATATGTCATGGTATTTCACTGTGGTTTTATTTACATTTCCCTAATGATTAAAGATGTTGAGAATATATCCACATGTTCACTGGTTCCTTGTCCAGCTTTTGTGATGAGATTGTTCAAGTTATTGTTCCTTTTTATTGTTTTTGTCCTTTTATTTTAAAATTTATTTTTTTTTTTATTTCTTCCAGTACATGGCTTGCCTTTTCTTTTTACTAATGATACCTTTTGAAGGGTACAAGTTTTTAATTTTGATTAAGTCCAATTTGTTATTTTTTAAAATAAGGTAAGGATAAGGGCGCCTGGGTGGCTCAGTTGTTAAGTGGCTGCCTTAGACTCAGGTCCTGATCTCAGGGTCCTGGGATCGAGCCCCGCGTCGGGCTCCCTGCTCCGCGGGGAGCCTGCTTCTCCCTCTCCCACTCCCCCTGCTTGTGTTCCCTCTCTTGCTGTGTCTCTCTCTCTGTCAAATAAAATCTTAAAAAAAATAAAATAAAGTAAGGACTTCAGTGTGTGGTCTGAGAAATATTTGTATGTCTATTGTTACAAAAATATATGATTTCCTCTAGAAATATTATAGAGTTACGTTTTATGCTTAGGATATTCTTTAAGTTAATATTTGCTTTCAGTGAGAGGTATAAATGTGAAGTTCATTTTTTTTTCATATGAATGTCCAGTTGTTCCAGCAATATTATTTGAAATAACTATCTTTTCTTCATTGAATTCAACTGGCATCTTTGTCAAAATTTAATTGACCTTAAATGCATGGATCTCTTTCTGAACCACCCCCTCCCTTTTAAAATTTTTTTCTGGTTTATTAAACCTAGGGTTTAGTTCTTGCATTGCTCCTTTGCAGACCTCATCTCTACAACTAGACCATGAACTGCTTGAGGTGGCTCAGGTCTTCTATGTCTCTGGATCCCTTACAGTGCTTATAGAGTGCCTGGCCCCAAGGGGGTGCTCATATTTTTGTTTTTAGTAGAAGTGTCTACATAACAAATAAGCAAATGGTCACAAAAAAATCAAGACTGGACCCATATATGTTCTGGAAATGATATCTGACTAGAGCAGCATGACTCAAGCTGTATGGAATTTGGCTAGCAATGATTGTAACAACAGCCAACAGTTACTGAACGATTGTTACATGCCTGGCACTATTCTCCGTGCTTTACCTAAATGTATGATAACCCTGGTAAGTAACTACAATGTCCATCTTCATTTTACAGATGGGGAAACAGAGGCACAGAGAGGTTGGGCAGGTGCTCCGGCTGGTAAAGCAGAACTAGGATTCAAACCCAGACAGCCTGGTTCCAAAGTCAGAGCACAAGCATTTCACAATACCGTCTCTCTACAGGTAGCAAAGGGGACTTGGAGAGGGTGGGCTGGGAATACCCAGAAACCAGAGAAAAGAGCTACCAAACTGGCATCATTTTTGCGGTTTATGTGCAATGTTTACCTGAGCAAATATGTGGTAAAATAAATCATCATTTCAGCAATTAAATAGGTTCTTTGGTTTCTTAGGGTTTCAGGTGGTTGACTTTAAAATGCAATTTAAAATACATTCATAAAGGGGCACCTGGGTGGCTCAGTCGTTAAGCATCTGCCTTCGGCTCAGGTCATGATCCCAGGGTCCTGGGATCGAGCCCCGCATTGGGCTCCCCGCTTAGCGGGAGTCTGCTTCTCCCTCTCCCACTCCCCCTGCTTGTGTTCCTGCTCTCACTATCTCTCTCTCTCTAAGAAATAAATAAAATCTAAAAATAAAAATAAATAAAATACATTCATAAAATGATTAGCTCAGAAAATGACTGAGTCACTTTCTTTCTTTTCATTAGATATCTATTTATATATATATAATTAGAAATTTTCCAAATGTCTAGTGATCCTATCACAGAGATAAATTATTTGTAATTTATGATGCTATAACCACCCTCACCTGGTTAGAGCATGATAAATCATTAACATCAACGGCAAAAGCAGAAGTCTCTTGATTTCACCACAGCCAGAAGTGAAAATATTAATTATAGCAGAGGGAAAGTATAATTGCAGACCAAACACTATATGCATCAAATATGAACACACACCACTGTATAGGTCCCAGACTGGGCCTAGGCTCAATCTGTCAATAAAATTAAGTTTTAATTGTCTGGTGATTTCCGTTGTATAAAGTCAATAGGACAGAAGAAAGAGCCACAGGTAACCAAAATACACTTTGGCATCGGGGCTGTACAAGATTGGGGCGGGGATCTAGAAAAATGACAATGATAAAACAACAGCTGCCCCTTGTGTTCTTATGGCTTTAATTTTTGTCATAAACAAACAGTGGGGGTAAAAGAAAACACACACTGTTTCTGCCTATGTAAACCCAGCAGTTCTCAGACAGTCCAGATTTTATTGAACAGCATGTTACTCGTGAATCTTCTGCACTGGTGCGTTATTTTGCACAAAGCAGACCTCACCCCAACCCTGGCCCAGCCTCAGACGCCGATCCGAGGTGCTCGCTTTAGTCAGCACCTAAAACCACACGTAGCATTCCTAGAAGACTCAGAGAGAGTGGTCAGTTTCTCGGGACAGAATGAAAGGACATGTAGTGAATGCCCAGGACCCTGCCCACTGAAGAACATAACTAGGCGAGATGCAATGCACAGAGTCAAGTTTGCTTGGAGCTTCTGCTGGGGAAGGGGGGGAGGGGCACTGTGGTCTGTATGCCCTTCACCAAGAAAGGCTGTGCCATCTTGGACCAGGACGAGAAGGTTCGGGTGAGGGGGAAGGGTGGGTGACAGGTGCCCAGCCACATCAGCCGAATTAACTCTGAAAGTCAACGGGATGACAGTTGTCCCAGGATGGCATAAGCCAGGCAGCTGATTTCATTTTGTGGACTTTTATTTACTTAATTGATTAATTTTGAGGGAGGGCAAGCTGAGGAAGTAAAAGGACGTCATTTTTTTTTTTCTTGGTAATCCAGAACCTGAGGCCTTGAGGGTTGCTATAAGATGAACAATTCAAAATCCTCTTTAAGTGGCAAGCCCCCTATTTCTAAAAGGCAGGTAATGACAAAGAAAAAGTGTGTTTGGCGGCGTGCAGAAAGCTCGAGTGTCACCAAGATGGAATCAATATGAAGCATCTGTACACGTACAAAGCCGCACATTACGATGATTAACAGTAAAACAAAGACTTAAGGAAACTACAAGGCAAATTTCCCTGAAGTCTCTCAGTAGTTATTTGTGTCTGATGGTGATTTTGTATTTTATGACATTATATTTTCTAATTTCACCGAAGGAAAGCTAACCAAATGCATGGATTTTATTTATTTATTTATTTACTTACTTACTTTTTTTGGTGCAGCCTCAAAATGCCTTAGGGCTAATTCAGGCCTGGTTCAGTGGCAATCAGCTGTCTCAGAAGCTGCCTGCATGTTTAAATAGCTTCTCGCCTGTTTATTTTGTACTGTTTTATCCCGTAAGCTGTCTCAAGGCCCTTCCAATATAAGCAGGAGGATTTAAATCTTAATAAATTGAGATTTGAATAACAGAGGCAATCTGGGCTTGGAGGTCTTGAATGATTAGGATAAACATCTCTATTCCCATTCCCAAATTATGCATGTGCTATAATGCATTGCCCTTGATCAGCATCAGTAATAATTAAAATAGTATCAACAGCAGTAAGAAGGATAATACTTAGGTTTAAATAGCACTTTTCAGTTTATAAGGACTTTTATTTACAGTTTTTCATTCTATACCTGGAATAGTTCTAAGAGGTAGGAAGAACAGGTGTTACGCCTACTTTATAGATGAAGAAACTGAGTCACTAAAAGATTAAGACAAGCCCACAACAAGTGGGACATGTGGTGGCTCTAGGACCAGAACCCAGTTCTTTCCAATGGCTTTCCCATAATTTGGCCAGATGTAACAACATATGTGTGCCAACAGTAAGACTTTCAATCACATTCTGATTAAACTATTGGAAATACCTTCTTACAAAAAGCTTGTAATAGGGACACTACAGAAATCTAGAATCATTTCTTTTCTAAAAAAGATAACCAAAGGGATTGTTCATCAGTTCCATCAAATCCAGGATTGGAGGTGACAAACAAGCAATGTTCAAATATTCTTCTCTAGCCTCCTGTTATTTTGATGGAAGACATAAAAATATATATGACTTTCTTAACTGTAATTTAACACCAAAATATTTATCCTGTCCTGTCATCTCTCATCACTCAAAATGCCGAGGAGTTGAATTTTCAGACATAGTAGAAGTCACATCACAAAGATACATTCTAACATTAATAGAAACAACAACAACAATTAAAAAGGCTTACCTTGCAGCCTTCACATGTAATGACACCATAATGGATTCCTGATGATTTGTCTCCACAGATCTTGCAAGGAATAATTTCAATTTGAGCTGCAACAGAAGCACGCAACCAGTTAATTACATTTTCTTTTAAACACCTTATAAAAGCGTTCCCTGATCAGCATTTGTAGAGTGAAAACTAATAACCTGCTAAACATTATACTGCATTAACTATTCATTGCTGAACTGTGAGGGTCCCCCTAGAGCCCTGGACTAAATTATGGCTGCTCGTTATATAATAGCTTTCGGGTTATTAAAATGGGTCATTTGAGAAGGTGTTTAAGAACCCACAAGAAGACTGGAATCAGCATTTCAAAGCCTTCAAGAACTGGAGAGCTCGCAGTTTAGGCCTCAGAGCAAAGCAGATACTAAAATGTTTCCTCCGATCTCATTTTCCATCATTATTTTTAAAAGGTCATAAATCTGTCTTGGCTGAGCATTGTAGCTCCACTGGTAGGGAAAAAAATATACTCCAAAAAGTCAAGACTACTTAGGAAAATGATTCAATTCAGAATATTAATAAGTTACATTTGCTGGCAAGTTAAGAACGCCTTAATTATCTTTTTTAATTAATGTAGTTGGCATGTGTTGAAAATCAGTCCATTTGTGTACGATCAAAACCTTTCAACCATAAAGTTAATATCCTATCTGAATTTAATAATGGTGAATCCTGATGAATAGTATATGCAGTTTCTCAGTTCTATATGTTGGAAACTGATTGGTATAGTGTGCATACATTTCTAACCAACTGATCATTTGAAGATGCTTCATGTTGGAAGACCACCCAATAACTAACAGATATCACACCAAAGTTCTCAAATATGACAAAGCACATTTCTAAGCAAACACAATATACCTTGGGCACAGTTGGTTGGGAAGAACATAATGAAGGATTAAAAAAATAACCTCAGGAATAATTAGGCAAAACAAAGTTCTTGGCCCACCTATTAAATATAATTTACATGTGAAATAAGACCAATACTGAGCTGTATACACAGGATGGCAACGTTCACCAGGGTACCCGGAATGTTCCATTACGCTAAGTTTTATTTTTCATGGTTTTCACTACGGATATCATGTCAGATTACTTAATCACACACACAAACACAATTGTAAGAGCGTAAGTGTACTTCATTTCCATATAGCCCCTACCTAACCCCATGCCTTACACATAGCGATGACTTATCAACAAGGAATATGTTGCACAATGTAAGTAACACACACATACATACAGCCCGCTCTTTCTTCCGGTGTAATCCCATATCCTGGAATAATTTCCACAACCACTTACTTTGGACTTGATGCGATGTTTGCATTCAATACTCAGAAACAGTATACATTAAATTACTGGATTTAACCTCATTATAAACCATGTGTACCTGCTAACTTCCTTTCAAGGGGACCAGTACAAGTACTGTGGTGACTTTTAGGGAGTGCAAGCTATTCTAGAAGGAGAGTCCCTTTTCATGTCTATCACTTTTTTTAAAAGATTTATTTATCTATTTTAGAGAGTGGGGGGAGAGAGAGAGAGAGTGAGCGAGTGCGGAGGGGAGGGGAGGGGCAGAGGGAGAGGGAAAGAAGGGAGAGAGAGTCTTAAGCAGACTCCACGCTGAGTGCGAAGCCTGACACGGGGCTAGATCTCACGATCCTGTGATCACAACCCGAGCCGAAACCAAGAGTCAGACGCTTAACCGACCGTGCCACCCAGGCGCCCCTCACGTCAATCACTTTTAGTGTTGACATAGTGAGCTTCATTGTCCAGAGTTAGAGATTGTTCAAAATCTCACAACCGCTATATTTTCCGTAATGGGTAGGTTTCTAATACCTCAATAATGGTTTCTTTGTATACTGTCCATTCTGAGTTCTGCAGCTTAATGTGTTATAAGGTCACATTTAACAAAAATGATAATTTCGAAGTCTGCCTCATCTTCGTGTCTTGTTTGATTTCTTCAAGGAACTTCTTTATGAAATCTGAACTCTAATAATGCTTCACATTGATGGCCCCTCTGATATTTTTTAATATAGTCAAGGCCAAGTTTTGTGTCAAATATTGTCTGTAGCTCTAGATAGAGTTATGTCCAACACTTCTGAGACACAAAAGCCAAGCGGTGGTACAGACATTCTGAAAGGTGTTATCAGCTGAGAGTGATGGCCTGGATTTTCCCACAGGAATTAACTAGTCTGTAATGAGAACCAGCCTCCCCCACCCTAACCCCTAAGGAATAGAATAATTAGGCAACATAAAGTAGTTGGACCATCTATTAAGCAAAATTTATATGTGAAATAAAAAGACCGACACTTCTGCTTCTGCTTATGTCTCACCTCAAGCCGTAATCACAGAAATCAGACACAGACAAACTTCGCTAAACCCTGTAGTTTAAGTCAGCATCAAAACGATGTGAGGCAATTAAAGCAACCTCAGTGCTGAACTTGGGCCTTTCAAGATTTACCTTCCTTCCAGCTTAACAATGGAGAGATCAAGCACCTCTATTTAGTTCTTTATAAGATATGAAGGCCCTGGGCAGACCATATTGGGAATGCTGAGTAAAACTATCTGGATGGATGGAGAATAACGTATTGCTGTTCATTCTGCCTGGGCTCATAGTGGATTATGCATGAGAAGTGAAATGATGATGTTTAAGGCAGGACCAAAATGCCTGCCAATGGCTTCCTGCAATCCTACAAGTGATATGGAGATCTGGCATGGAGGGGTCTGTTCATGATGGCGGTGGCCCTGGGATCCTAGCCTGGCATCTCCACCCTTGGAATGACTCATGGCCTGGCTGCGGGGGCGGAAGGTGGTGGTGGAGGGGAAGCCAGGAGGGTCACTGTAGCACAGACCCAGAGTTTGGTGCCTAATACTGCATAGGACTGCTGGCCTGAGTCAGGCTTCCAAACTCAGCCTTCCTTCAGCTCCCAGGGTCTTCGCATCTGGAGGGCACTCAAGCTGAGACGTATTTCCCAAGATTTATGGAGGCCAAGATGCTTAGTATGAATGGACTCACTGTAGACTGACCTGTATTTTCAAGCAGGGGCCATTGGCCTAGACCTTTAACCCCCACTGTGTTTGTGCTTAGCTCCCGTGGACAATGTTGGCCAAAGAATGGGAATTAGAAAAGCTTCACCAGGAATCTCATGGTAAGGTGATGGGAGGGTTCTCCAAAGCAAAGTTCAAGTATTCTGATTGGTCAGATGCAACTATTCGACTAGCTTACCCTCTGGGTTGACTCTCTTATCTCAGAAGACAATTTCAGTTGCAAGTGCTCTTTAGGAAATGATTAAAATCCACCTGCTCCAAAAAGCAAACTCTCTGAATGTGATCTGATCACATGTGTTGATATTTCCAGAAAGCAAACATTTGCAGATTCGACCAGGGCACTTACTCAATCTTCCATTTAATCCAACAATGCATAAAAGCTACTTCCCTCCACCTTTTAGTCAATTTACAGAATTCAAATGTATCAATGAGAAAAAAAAATGCCTTGCCATATTTTTTCAAAAAGAGCAGTTTAGTTCCTTAAATTTGAGTTTTCAGACCAATAAGAGGGAAAAGGACAAAAGTCCCTTTGCCCTTTGCTTTCTATCCCCCAGGCTTTTTTCATTTTCTAACAGGCAGCGTTGTTTCTTTTCAAAATAATCTTCTTTTAACACAAATTATGAGTCTTGGCCCATATATATACTGCACAGATTAACTCAGCCAGAATTTCAAAGGATGAGTTCTGTCAGACACCACTACTGTCACAAGTATATTGATTAAATTAGTCCCCATACATATTCATCGCAGCAAAGAGGTTTATTGTGTAGCGGAATATCTGAAGCAAGACACACACATATAATCATGAATTGGCTTAACAATGCACAATCTTGCTATGAAAAATTCTAATTTGCCCACATTTTCAGCTCTATTGCCTAAATAATTTGCTCTCTCATGCACCCTAAGTAATTCAAGCACGCTCTCCACACCTGCAGAGGCAAATTTCTGCAGCTTCAAGGAGCTGACAACAAGTGGCACCGGGGAGTCAGGAAATCCTGGAATGCAAGTGTGCTCATTAGCCAAGTGGTCCTTGGGCTGGGCTGTCATTTAGCATTGTACTTCTGTAAAAGGTTGGCTTTTTACTTTTAATTATAAAAGGGACAAGAACATGGACAATGGCATTCTTAACACCTCATTTACTCCTCAGGACCTTTTTTGGGGGGAGATATCTTGGTCCAGAGAAAAATACCCATTCTCCCGAAGAATTAAAAAGTACAATTGTACAAGAGTTGTACCCATTCTATGCGTGAAAGGTGATGCCATGATAATCTAATGGATTTATAATAACCAATAATATGCAACATGTATTTAGGCTTATAATGTGTTAGGCATTATATCCATTCCTCCAATACCCTATGAGGGAGGGGGTGCTATCATCATCATCATCATGTGCATTTTTCAGGTTAGAAAACGGAAGCTCAGAGAGGCTAAACAACCTGCACAAAGTCAGAGAGCTCGGAAGAGGTAAGTTTGGGATTTTGTCTTTTTTGTTTAACTCAATAGTTTTTTTCGCCTTTTCCCACCATACTTCACAGCCTTTTTTTGTTTAACTTAATAGTTTTGTCTTTTTTGTTTAACTCAATAGTTTTTTTCCCCTTTTCCCACCATACTTCACAGCCAAGCTAAATTGCTCCAATAACAACATCAGGAACAGACTGCTATTAGTATGCTACCATTAACCAAGGATGCAAAGGACTAAGCACAAATAATTTGGTTAAACTTTGATAACTACTCAGAACTGATGTCAAGATATCTTCCTGGGAGTTACCTCACTTATTAGTATTTTATAACTGTAAGTAATCACCAACCTTCTAGACCATTCTTCTCCATTTTATAAAATTCTGAGTGGAGTTTTTGACCTTAAGACGACTGACACCAATGTTGAACAATTTTTTTAAGGCTGGGCAAATTACTTAACCTCTCTGAGCCTGAGTTTTATATTTGAAGATTCAGTAATACAATGTATAAATGATGTAGCACATAAATGATTATTTTATATATGTATTCTCTCTCTATA